ATGAGGATGAAGTACTCGTGTTGGGATTGGTGTTCTTAAAAGGAGATAAAGAAACCAGAGCTCTCTCTGGTGAGGATACAGTGAGGACACAGTGAGAAGGTGGCTGTCTACAAGCCAGGAAGAGGACCCTCACTCGAACTCAACCACACTTGCACCCTGATCTCAGACTCCCAGCCTCCAGAACTGTGAGAAAAAAATGATTGTTGTTTAAGCTACCCAGTCTATGGGTCTTGTAGGCCAAACTGACTAAGACAATGACATTTGAGGTGAAGTAACTTTGAAGGAATGTTTTTCAGGATAGGTAAGACCTGAGCTTGTTTTAGGCCCTGGGAAAGAAGCCAATGTGGGCAAAGATTGGAAGGGTGAGGGAAACGTGAATCAGCCAAGGTCCCAGAGGGGCTGGAACAGTACACCAATATCAGTATATATCAGGCCTAATTTAAGAAAGAAGAAGGAGGGCCGGCCGAGTGGCGCGATGGTTAAGAACTCGCTTGGGATGCCAGAGGGCCCCGGTTCGGATCCCACATATGAGGGCCAGTGACACTGCCCTCCACAGCTAAGATGCTGAACGACAGCTCAACCTGGAGCTGGGCTGCCATGAGTCGCCGGCGACGGCGTAGGCTGCAGTCCCTGTGGTAGTGGGTTGCCATGGGCTACCGTATGTAGCCAGCAGCCAGCGTGAGCGGCCAGCAGCCGCAGTGAGCGACCGTCCAGAAGCCGGCGACTGATCTGCCTCACCTGGGAAGAGCGCAATGATGGTGCCAACTTGGGCCAGTGAAGCAACGTCCTCCACAACTAGACTGAAGAACAAAAACGACAGCAACTTGTCTGTTCCCCTTCCCCCAATTCCCCAGCACTGTTCCCATCCCCTCAATTCCCCAATAAAAATCTAAAAAAAAAAAAAAAAGAAGGAAAGGACAAAAAGACTACATAAACAAATTTAGGACATCTTTCTGAGGAGGAAGGACACAAAAGGCATTGTAGCCAATGAACCTATCTGTTTTCCCAATGGATTGGGAGAAAAGATCATCAGCTGGGTAGGAGGTTTGGGCCTGGGAGTTGGAGGGGCATAGAAGAAGTAAGTATATTGATGCTACGTAGAATGAACTAGGGCATGGTATCTGAATTATCAGTTATGCTTGTGAGGCTCCTGCACTCCATGCCAGAACTACCAAATCATAGTCTCAGGAGGTGAATGATCCTAATGCACACTAAAATCTAGAAACTTTGAAATTGAAGGTTAACTAAGCATATGGGGCCACTGCTGATGTTAGATCACAATTATTTGAAATAGGATTAGTCAATACATTTATATGATTTTCTTCAGCATTATTTAAAAACTTGGGAAGAGAATATTTGAGAAACATAGATGGCTGGGTATACCCGGAGTTGGGCTTTGGCAATGTGGGTACAGAAGTCAATAGGTCAGTGGAACTTGAGATGCTGGTATGTGCATCACCAACCTGGGTAATTACAAGGTAAGAACTGGGTTGAGAGGGAGGGGTTGGACTGGAATTTATGAGGAGGATGTAAACTAGATTTGTGAAAGTGTGTGAGTGAAATGCAAGAACTAGAAGTTTTGGTCAGTGACGTGAACCTTGGTGTAAAAGATTTTGAAAGAGGAAATGGTGACACAGTCCCAGTAGTGGCCATCACAGGGGCTTCTGAACCACAGTGGAGATAAAGTTGGCTCAAGTGGAAGCGGTCAAGGAAGTGAGGTCAGAGTATGAGATGGTTACCGTTCTGAACATCAGGCTTGTTGGATTCCATGAGTGGGGGTAAAGGTGGTGGTTACACAAGACAAAGCTGGATAGAGAAGACGAGAATGTTAGGGTGAGGGAGGGACAGAGTCAGGGGAAACTGAAAGAGCTGGGTTAGCTAGCCCTGGAGATTCAGCATGGCACTGCACCCAGCGGAGCATCATTTTAAAATGGTTAGTGGCAGGATGAGTCAATATTTTGGCAATAGACAGTGACTTCTCAGATGTCCACATGGTGATACCTGGAATTTTGGTTCAGTACTTCGCTTATACTTCTATTTTACTATATGATATAGTCATTTGGAGGCCTTTGTCGCTTAGATTATATAATTCCTTAATAGTAGAAATCTTTCTTCTTCATAAATAAATCCCTACTGCTTAATGCTGTGCCTGAGATGTGGTAAATACTTAACAACAGATTTTGCTGGGTGAATGAATGAAAGATATTAAGCAGCCCCATATTTGTTACAGCAACTTTGGCATGAGGGTGCCTTGCAAAGGTGCCTTCCCAGGTGGAGGAGAGATGTTATTCATTGTTTATCTTCTCTGAATGCTCTTGAATATTTATTTTGTTTGGTGGCAGTCTGAGAAGTATGAGTGAGTTATGTTTGATGATGAGTTTTTCATGATGATGGAAGTGAAAAGTGTGACTGTTGTCTGAAGGTAGAATAAAAGAAGTAATAAATGATTCATTCTCCTCTACCTGAGCATGAAATGTTCAGTACTGCAAGCTCAGCCTCTGCTCTCTTAAAACTCCCTAGATAACTTAGTTTTTATTCACAGCTTTAATTATTACTTCTATGAGCACACAGGCTTTCCCTCTGAATCCAGACCCATATCATTTCCTACTTGACATTGTCGACATAAGAAACATCGAAACCTGTAGAGAATTTATATGAGTTTATTTCAGCCAAACTGACGACATGTGCTGGGGAGCAAGATCTCAAATGCTCCGGATAATAAGTTCTGCAGCTTCTTTTATGCATTTGAAATTAAGGAGAGAACATCAGGAAAATTACAGGAGGTGGGGGAAAGCAAGGTAGGGATTGGATTACAGGATAGTTAACAAGATTATGTGCTCTTTTGAGGGTGGTTACAGTTTATTTTAAAGGTGTGTTAGTTTAGATGCATAGAAACAATGGACAGGTCCTGCTTAAGGCAAAGGTAAACCTTTTACTAAAAAGTTATGTACCTGGAGTGTGACTACCCACCATGACCTGCCCAGTTAGGAATTTATGATCAGATCACCCTGTGAGGTAACTTTCCATAGAACCTCTCTTTTTTTTTTGGCCACAATGTCTTCTCTCAGAAGCACCAGAGAGCCCCCGAGACTTACCCTGCACAAGCAGAATTCATGATCTTCCACTGCAATCCTAGTTCTCTTACAGAGTTTCCCCCACTTTGCTTAGCACATTCCTTCCCCAGCAAGCCGAGAACCCATCAGTCAACCTTGAAGAGTCCCTTTTCCTCATCTTCCATATCCAACCCACCAAGACCTTCCAATTTTAAAATATAAAGAAATCTTGAATCCTTCTATTTCTCTCCATTGTCAAAGCTACCACCCAGTTCTGGAATTCTGTAACACCCCCCCACTCCCAATGGGTCTACCTATGCCCACTTTAGGCCCTTCCAATCCTCTTTCTACATTCTTAGATAAGCATCATACTATTCTTGCCCCAACCCCAAAGCCTTTCTACATGCTCCCTCTTCCCTACTTCCTATCATTTACCCCTATACTTCCTTCTGATCTCAGCTCTGACAAGTTGAAATCTCCCTGCTATATTCACTCATAGAAATATGTGCCCCATCTTTACAGCATACATCTCAGTTGTGATTTTATATTTCTGTGTGTGTGATTATTTCACTTACGTCTGTCTCCCTCACTAAATTCTTAGCTCACGAAGGGCAAGAACCCTATATACTTTTGCTAAGGATGGGGCGTGACACATAATGAGTATGCCATAAATATTTGTTAGATGAACGAATCAAGAGACCAAAACCTCCCTTGTCTGGGACTAGTTGTAGTCACAGCAATAAAGTTTTCTTTCTCTGGTCCATCCACTGAGACTTGGGAATAGTGTAGTCATAATGAATTCTTCTAGGCAATGGTATCCATGATAACTTAACTTGCGGTAGAAGCCAAAATGCTTTATTCTTGTCCTGGCCCTGCAATGGTGTGTCCTCAGGTGAGATATACTTTTTTTAGGCCTAAACTCTGTAAATTACCTACAGATTAGGTGTCTTCTTCTGTCCTTGAACGGTCAACAGCTGTTTCTCCAGACCTCCACTCCTTTCCTTTCTGCCCGTCTCCCCAGCTGGGAATGACTGTTGGCCTCCTGCAAAGGTAGGGGAGGGTGCCTAAAACAGAGCCAGGCTTTCTGTAGGAGGGCTGGGAGAAAGCGTGGGCACTAATTCCATGGAACTGCCTTTGTATTCAGGAACAACAGCTGGATTCTATTTCTTCAGCCAAGCTTGTTTTGAAAAACAAGAATATTCGACATGACAAGAAGCTGGTCTTAAACAGTATTGCCTGAAAGAATGTTAATTCATGGAACTGAAAACTTAGGAGCCCTGTTTAGGTGTATTCACTCCCTTTCTTATTTAATTGGGGTGACATACACTCAGATTGATCTTTTTTCTGGTTCAGTGATCTCCAAGCAGTGTAATCTGTCAAGTTGCTATTGTTTATTTTCTATGTATTTTGCCTAAATATTTCATGGCAAATGAAGGGGAATAACTTAGTTTTCAAAGGCAGAAATGTTTCTCAGAAGACGCTCAACAGGTTGCCTTCTCCATCTTTCTGATTCTTGGATCCCAAACTATCCTCAGTTCATGAAATCTAGTTTCAGTAACCGAAGAGGAGGTCCCATCCTATCCTACTGACTTGCAATGTGAAACTGGCAATGGTCTCTCTGTCTGTTAATTTCTCCATCTATACAATAGACATAGTAATTCTTACCACTTTAAGGGAGGTATCATTAAATCACAGAAATTATATCGGAAGAAAACAAGAGTATTTAATCTTGCAGAAAAGCACATCTACATTTTCTTCATGTTCTCTAATTTGCATGAAAATTTTCAGAAAAGAACATTTACCATATAACACACACACACACGCACATATATATATGTGTATATATATATATATATATATATATATATATATATAATTTGACAATTCCAAACTACACCCTAACCACCCACTTCCGAATAAGGGGTACAAATCAGAAGCCAGCAATTGTGTAACACAGAAATCTCTGGACTGGAGCCATCTCTGTGGTTTGGCAACACAACCAGTACATTGCTTTTCTCATCTCTTGAAAAAAAAAAAAACCAACAGAGAGAAAATACCTTGAGAATACAGGTAATGATTAATCCATCAGGCACAAAAAGGATAAAAGTGTCCTTTTGGGGTTTCATGTTCTAACTCGCTAATGCAAATAAATAGCAGTGAACAGGGAGTGACAATTTTACCAGAAGAGGATTAAGTCACGGGCAGTGATTGGGACAGCATTTGTGGAGTCAGATAATCTCATCAGAGATCTCCAGGAATCTATCAGCAGTTGTCACTTTTTCCTTTTTCATCTGTGAGTGAAGTAGGGACCAGAAGAAGCAGGTATCGGTACAAAGAGTGGTCCTTGAAGAACCTGCACGATGCAGCCTGAGAAAGGACAAAAGAAGAAAAGCCTCAAGCAGAGACTGGTCTTGAAGAACAGCTTAGCTAAAGAAACACTCTCTGAGTTCTTGGGCACGTTTATAATGATTGTAAGTATTTCCTGCTTTTCCAAGTTCCAACTCAATAAAGCCTTCCTATCAGTCTAGCTGGTGGGGAAATGTTTTATTTTGGTTTCTTTTCTTAAAGTTTATCATTAGATTCGTGTCTCCCAGAGAACAGCAAGTTACTTCCAGGCTGTTTGGCTACTTAGTGGCTACAGTATTAGGTTTCCATTTACTCGTTTCATTTATCCGTAAGAGTTGATGCAGGTGGAAGAGGGGGGTGGTGAAGTACTTTCTTCATTTTAGAGATTTACTTGGATGTGAAGATGGCTTTGTGATTAATGTCAGCCATTAGAAATTTTTCTCATTGATGAATTGATTTATATATATACTGCTTATTTCATACAAACATTGAGGTGGCTCAGTCGCTTGCAATAAATATTGACAGTCAATAAGCATGGATGGTAAGAAACAGCTCATTATTACAAATGCTTGGCAAAGACTGTGTTGACAGATCATTTGACTCTTCATAAATTAAAAATTGCACTAGGTAGAAATAGGGCACCGGGCAATAGTCCAGCTTTGGTTTTGTATCATTTTTTCCATCTAACTCAAGCTAATCTCTAAAGATCTTTAATTAGAGATCTTTACTGGCTGCAAGTCAATGGGACAATTACAAGAACCTTTTATATATAAAGGAAGGACTGATTCATAGAACCTCTCAAGGATTTTGTCCAGAGAGTTAGTTGCACAGCTATTAATAAAAGACTGGAAAGTTTACTTGAGTGTCATGGGCTCTCAGTTTTCATCGTGTTGCATGTTCAGGTGTTCTCTGGATTCTGAATTTTCAGTTGGTGCCAGACCATTTGTGAACAGAAAATTAAATTAGTCATTATTTTTATTCATTATTTTTATATGTAACAACTACTGTTTTAACTTGCTTTAGAAAAAAAATAACCTGCTCATAGATTCTCTACTCCAGGTATATATAATTTCATTTTTCTGAAGGTTATAGAGGATTGCCCATAAACTTTGTACATTAAAAGTTCTTTGGTAATGTACAGCATGGTGACAGTTAATAATACTGTATTGCATATTTGAAAGTTGCTAAGAAAGTAGATCTTAAAAGTTCTCATCGCAAGAAAAGAAATTAGAACTATGTATGGTGACAGATGTTAACTTAGTGTGATCATTTCACAGTATATATTGAATTATTATGTTGTGCACCTGAAACTAATATAATGTTATATGTCAGTTACACCTCAATTAAAGAGTTATTTGCTTTGGGTAAATACATAGTAATTTAGGAGAATAAGCGAAAATTGAGACACAGAAACAAATCTGAACTCAAAAAATTGAACTAGTGTAAAATGAGAGTCATAAATTTTCTGGTATCTGAAAACCCTCTTTTTACCTGATTCACTCAAGTATTTTCAAGGCATTATGGACAATTTCTTGCCCTACTTGGCTGTCCTCAAATGACGTAGGTAGGGAGAGATTGAAGGAAAAAAGACAATAAAAGCCTATGGTTCTTCTAATTCCAGTCACTACTTACCAGAAAATTGCCTTCAGGAAGACAGAAACCCTCAGGTCATGTTAGTTGACACTTTGTTCCCAAAGAGGAGAGTGGTTGTCACCATCCACTGATTACAGCTCCACAGTAACCTGTGGTCTCATGGAGCAAATTCAGTTACAACTCTGAGTGATTGCAGAAAACACAGGAGGAAGTGAACTAAACGTTCATTTTGCAACCAAAAAAATGAAAACCCTCTTTATTAACAAGAACTTGTTTCATAATCCCATCCAGTCTGGGTTGAGTAAGTGAAAATTGCTTTCAGTTGTTTACTATTCTACAGTCAAAAAACAAAATCAGCCAAGTAAATGTGAAGATCTTATTGGCTTTATGAAGCAATTTATAAATCATGCAGCATCCCATCTAGCAACTAGAAGGGCTCTCAGAGTTGTTTTATAGGCACAAAGAAGGTGGAATTAAGAAGGTAAAGGAGTGTATTATTTCAGGCAAAGTCACCTTCCCTTAGGGGAAGGCAGGGAGTCTTAAGAAGGTTTTATAGAAAAGAAATAATTATTTTTGGTCCAGGACACCTTTACTTTGGGGGAAAAGAACAGGAAGGATCTTTATCACGCAGATTGCCTCTTCTTTTCATGGGTAGTCGGGGAATGGAGAGGACCCAAGGGACACTTATTGGTGGTTGAACAGAAAATCTCAGATTGGTTGATTACGATTGTGTTTTGGGAAGAGGCTGAAACTGCAGTTGGATCAGGTATTAAATGTAGTTTTGGTATCATGAACTTTCAGTACAAGTGACTCCATTTTGGGCCTGTGGTTTTCTGTTTCATACTGCTCATGCAATTAGTAGTGTGTCTTCCCCTAGTATTCAAGGTAGGAGCTAAAGAAATATCTTAATATTGTATATTGAAAAATTAAAATTTGTATCTCCTGACTAAAGCCAATCATTTCCTGAAAGGTTTGGTTTCTATCTACACTGCACATTTATTTTCTAAAGCGAACCCTGATGAAATCTATAATTGTGATTATAAGCTTCAATTTTGTTGAGACATGTGGGGATGTATTAACAAGAAGTGTCTGCACAAACACAATAATTTCTTAACCCATAATTCTACATGGTTTTGTTACCATAGGCAGAAAAAAATAGAACCTTGGGGAGAGAGTTGGAAGGGAAGGAGGATGCAAGGGGAGACAAAGGAGGGAGGGAATGAGATCATTCTTAAGAAAAATTGCAGCTACCAGGCTGGGCAGAACTAGATTTTGGTGGCCAAGAGTAGAGCCAGGAGGCAATCTTGTCCCTCAAGATGAACTTTAGCTAATTATGATGGATTATAATATTATTAGCACTGTGGTTAAGGAGAATCTCTACCCCCTGTGCCACCATGACAGTTACAAGAGCCAAATAAAGACAAAAATCCCTCTGCCCAATGGGAAGGAGAGGCCTGCGAGGACCCCCTGGGAACACCTATAGCACCACCCCTAAGTCTTGAATATTTCATGTCCTCATTTTAGAAGTAATAAATTCCTAAGCCTCTTTGATCTTTGGGGCAGTTGCTGTTCTGCAGGCCCGCCCACTCCCCCTTCTTGAGAGTATACTGTCCTTCTCTAATAAATTCACAACTTGCTTGGCTTATTCAGTGCATCCTTGAATTATTTCTTGTGATGATACCAAGAAAACATTTTTCAATAACAGTTTTGCTCAAAGATTTCCAAAGTAATTGTCTCTGCTTTGTTAGAAAAGGTGCATTTTGCCTTGCTCCCTCTAGTGAAAAGCTTTGCATGCCGATAAGGCATGAGGAAAACGGAGCTTTAAAAAGAGGGCAAAGGATACACAGGACTCATCAGTTCTTCACATTTGTGAAGTTGGTTTTTCCCCCAGACCCTGGGAGTCCGGTGCCATTTTTTTCCTTCCTTTCCAAAACTGCTCTTAGGGGAAGTCTCTCAAACTCATTTACACTGTGGTGTAAATGACTAAAGCCTAGTGGTAGCATTAAGGGACGAGAAGGTCCACGAAAAAGTCTTTGTAAACTACAACTAAAAACAACAATAATTACATCATAAGCCAAAGAACTCGTTTTAATTTGGCCTTTTAGACTTCAGGATAGGTAGGCTTTTTTGCATCTTTTCTATCACAGAGAAAAGGTTTAGAAGCCTTGAACTGCAAAAGTAGGGACCATGTAGTAATTACCTGCCATACGTTAGCATCTGTACATACATTTATTTAATCCTTACGATAGCTGCGTTAGGAAGGCTTTATTATCACTCATAAACAGTTGGAGAAATGAGGGCTCTGAGAGATGAAGTAATTGGCCCAAATCGGAAAAGCACTGAACTGGGATTGTTTCTAACTCTAGAGCCCACGCTTTCCACAGGCATCATTGGAATTGCTTCAGCAATGTCCACAATAGATAGTAAATCAGACTCACTCTGCTTTAACAGTTCCACAGATGAGATAGAGCCGAGAGTTAGCTTTCATTTGCTCATGGGCATGTGAGTTAAAACCTGTAAGCACCTGAGACCAGACTGTTGGTTATACACTGAAGCCAAAGTCTTTACTATCTGAAGCTGAAAAGATGGCTCAATGTGGGTGGACAGGTGTGAGGTGAAGGGACTGCTTGGGACCATATATGTGAGCTCATGGCCTGGTGATTTCAAACTGCACATTCAATACACACTGCACATCAAGTTCCTGACATAGGAAACACTCCTGCAGTGCCATCTCCCTTTCCCCTTTCGCGCTCCTTCCCCTCTCTTCCTTGAGTCCTTGTAGTGTTTGAAAACAGCTGCTTTGTCTCCTCCTGACCACCTTGCAGGCCTCTTTCCCCAGCACCTGACACAGAACTCTGCACATACATAAATGGGAGCTCATAAATGGGAGTTGAATTTAAATCTCTTTTTTGGTCTGAACTTTCCAGGATTTCTAATCATTTCTTGTATGTCCACTCCTCACTATTCTGTGCACCCTCCTCGCTCTTCAAACATTTCAGGGGTTTTTGGTACAGCGCTCATCCTATTGAAGATGCTGAGGTGAACAGCCCAGCAAGCAGCCATGTCTCCTCCTGCGATGGAAGGGCGTCTTTCTAGGGCTGGACTCCTGAGTGGGTAGCACCAATCTGTGTACTGGGGAAGACCCTGAATTCTTTTCTCACCCTGTCAAGCTTGCACATTAGCGGTTTACCTTTTGGCATTTCTATGAATGAAAAAAATACAACTACTTCTTTTAAAAGTAATACTCTCGATCTGTACCCTGAAGGGAAACAAAGGGTAGAGGTCTGGGGCACAGTATATGGATGGCACAGAGAAGTGGGCAGTGCAGGATGGAGGGAAGAAATGGGATGGATGGCGCATGAGAAACTTCAGACCCCACAGTGTTTCTCACGTCTGTTTCTGCCTTCTTCCATGACTTGGTGTCCAAACTTCTCTCCCTGCCGGAGTCACAGAGTTTGATATTTCATTCTAGGAGGGTTCTCAGATATGCTGGCTATAGAAATTCTAGGATGTTAAAATTATTATTATAAAA